GGGGTGCCGGGCTGTGCAGGGGTGCCGGGCTGTGCAGGGGTGCCGGGCTGGCTCCAGGCAGGAACGGAGGCCGCAGCGCTCCACAAAGGGGGTGTGCCCTGCTTCCTGTGCAGCTGACCCTTCTTTGCCAGGGAGTACAAAGCTTGATTGACCTCTCTCTTGGGGACCCTGAGCTTCCTGGCCAGCTCCCGCGCTGTGGTGTCCTTCCCTTCCCCAAGCTCCTTTAGGAACTCTAAGATCCTTTCCTCGTGGCCCTGACTGATGCTCAGTCCCTGGAAGCGGGAGGAGAGCCGGTCAGCACCTCTCCACGGCAGGCCCCTGCCACCTGGCAGGGGAAGCTGGGGCACTGCCTGCAGCCCCTGACCTCTGAGAGGCACGCGGCTGCAGACCCCCCAGATCTCAGGCTGCCTGGCTCTAACAGGTGGTCCCGGAAACCTGGGCCAGAATCCTGGGGGCACTACCGGTGGTGGCAGGGACGGTGCCCGCGTTCCAGTCAGGGGCACTTCCGAGAGCCGCCCCTTGAGAAACTCTATTTGCTGGAGCCGGAAGCTATCGGTGCGCGATTCCTGCCGCGGCTGCTGCGGTCTGGCCTTGCTGTGCTCATAGCCGTGGCCAGGGCGGGGGCGGCGTGCGTTGAAGAAACACCCCTGTGGACAGAGGGAGCAGAGGGGTGAACCAGGCTGCAGGAGGCCGCGGACTCCCCTCCTGACCCTGCCCCGGACCACGCGCCCGGCTTCCAACAGGCTGAAAAGGTGACAGTCATGGGCTTGCGGCCTAGCTGGGGTGACTTAGCCACCTCTTAAGTACTGCCTGGGGCCACCATTGGCACACAGGGGACAGGAGGCGGAGCACAGGGGCACCCAGCAGGGGTTCGAGTGCCCCAGCCTCTCCAGAGACCTAACTAGTCTCCCTTTCCACAGCGTTTTGGAGAGTGGACAGGAACCTTCCCACCAACGCCAAGAGACCCTCTGCAACCCGAAAACAAATCGCATTGTGTCTTAAAACCAAAACCAGAACCCTGAAAAAGGAAGGGCGTGAGGGGGCTGGGGATGGACAGGGCTCCCCCTCCCTGAGCCAGGCTCCCCACGTGTCAGCCCTGGCCCCCTGCCCGTCACTGCCCTCCCACGAGGCTCACAGTGTGGTTTCAGGGAAGCTGGCACACTGTCCTTGCTCCTCAGCATGGTGCCCAGGCTGGGGTTGGGAGGGACACCTGGCACTTCTCCCAAGCACCCGGGCAGGGTCCCCTCCTTACCCTCAGCCAGCCTCCTACCCTCCCAGCTACCTCCCGAGGGCTGTTTCCACGGCCCCCCCTTCTGAGCTCTGCTTGTGGGCGCAAGAGACCCCAAATTCTCCTGTCGCCGTATGTTCACTGCAGTGGAGCAGCCGTGGCCCACCCCACAAGGGCCCTCCATCTGGGGCCTGTCCTCTCACTGAGTGTGCAGCAGGCAGGAGGTGCTCATGGGGCTGGGGGTGGCAGGAGGCACTCTGCTTCCTTGGCCCAGGGCTACAGGCTTGGGAGGGGCTGCACCTCGTGTTATGTCCCCTCCTCTGGTCCTCCTGAAGGCTCCAGGGCAGCTGCGCCCCTTTCTTCAACAGCTGTGCTTCCTACTCCCCACAAGTAGGGGACGCTGGCATTCTTGCCGGTGGCTCTCATGGGTTGTAGGGTTCCTTGATCTCTATGACAGTGGCCTCCCGCTCCTCTTTCAGCCACGTCTGGCTTGTCCAGCTGCCCCTCTGATATCACCATTAATGCCAACCCAGGCCTCGGCTGACCCCTCAAACCCTGAAACTCTTCTCCAGGGGCTGGGATCTGAGAGCTGTGCCATCACAGCACAAGCAGCCACTCACAGCACGTCAACATCTGTGGACGGCTTCCTTACGGGGATCTCCTTTCCCCCAAACAGGGGTCAGCTGTGGGCTGCGCTGGCCGACCCCTGCTCCTTTCTGGGGGCAGCTTCCCCACGTCTCTGAAGGCTCCCTCACTCTGCCTGATCTGTGGTCAGTTGGCCTCTCTACCCAGCACCCACTGAAGGACAATGACTGCGCTAACAGGTCCCTACACGTCCTGCTATTGAGCCGTGGCTGGGTCTCCACTGTTGGTCACCCAGTGCCACAAACTGCCCGGGCTCACCGCAGATGAAGCTTCTTCAGAAAACTCTCCTCCCAGGATCTGGTGACCCAGCATCAGACATCATCTCTGTCCCCTTCTCCTGCCCTTTCTATACCCTCAGTCCCCATGGCTTGTCTTAAGGAGTTTCCTTTATATTTAGTCCACTAGGTTGACGTCACCCACTCCGCCAACCCAAGCCAGCCCCCTGAAGCAACTCGCGTCTAGCCAGCTGCCACTTCGACCAACTACCTAGACATCGTGCCCTCAAGTAACCCGCCATTACCTCAAAGCCACAGATTCTGGACCAAATTTATCATTTCCCTCAAAGCCACCCTCCTCTCCCCTTGTCACTGTTCACGGCATCCTCCTCGCAGGTCACTAAGGCCAGGGCCCTGAGTCTCCTTCCCTGGCTGTCTGCCCTCCGTCCTCACGGCCTCCCAAGCCGGTGGCTGCCCTGCCCTGTCTGGCCCACCACCTCTGGAGGAAACGTGTCCCATTTGGGTTGCAGCCCCTGGTCACCGCCTCTTACTCAGACTACTCCGAAGCCTCAAGTCCTTCTGCTCCTCTGCCGCCACACCAGCGCGCACCTCCGCCCTCCACGGCCACCTGCCACGGCCACCTGCCACGACTGGCCCTTTCCTCCCAAGTCTCCTAAAGGCCACTTTCTTCAGGAGGCTCCGGACTCCCACTCCCTCAGCCCCCAGTCCCCTCCTGGAACTCCACCCAGTCAGCACCTGCTGTGCCTCTGGCTTCACCTTGGCTTTAGCTTGATCAATCATGGCAGAGATACAGTGAACCTGAAAGGCCATTAACAAGGTCAGGCGCCAGAAACCCCACCTCCACTCCCACACAGTGCCCATGGGGGCTGTGGCGGACTCCCCGGGGGAACTCCAACAAGGAGTAGGCTACGGTCACCTTTGTCTCCCCAGCACCTGGCACAAAATTAAAACTACCAAGCAACACACATGAATGTGTGAACACGGCACCCCCTTCCTCACTCCTCTTTTTTGGGGGTGGGGGATTCACTGAGCCCAGGGATGCTTTACCACTGATATACATCCCTAGTCCTTTTTTAAAAAATTTGAGACAGGTCCTATTTATTTATTTACTTATTTGTAAAGGGACCTTTATTTTCTTTATGTATATGTGGTGCCGAATCGAACCCAGGGCCCCCCACTGCTACGCAAATGCTCTTCCACTGAGCAGCAACCCCAGCCCTCGCTCCTCTATTGTACCTCTGTCCCCCCATATTGCTAGGGGCAGAGAGCAATATGGACACAGTGAGCGCCCCAATCGCAGAGCTGGATTATAGGGATTTTTAGGGGTTTTCTGATTAGCTCTTTGGTACCTTTCAGAGAAGAAACCTTGTTCTGAACTGGCTGAAGTCAGTTTCTACCAGGTGCTTTCTAGAGTCAAACTGCTACTCTCAACCAAAATCTGGCAAATATTTGAGTGCCCACCTAAAAAAAAAAAGGGTGGAATAAATGATGAAACACTCATGCTGTGGAACAGTATTCACACAGGGTTTAAAAATATGGCCAGGGGGGTGGCACACACCTGTAATCCCAGTGACTCAAGAGCCTGAGGCACGAGGATTACAAGTTTGAGGCCAGCCTCAGCAACTTAGTGACACCCTGTACTTAAAAAAAAAAAAAGGACTGGGGCTCAGTAGTAAACTGCTCCTGGGATCAATCCCCAGTGTGTGTGTGTGTGTGTGTGTGTGTGTGTGTGTGTGTGTGTTTTAGATCTATTTGTATTCACCTAGAGAAAATTTAGGAATATATTGACTAAAACAACAACATAAAAGCAAGTTGCAGAATACATATACATTATTTTTTCTCTTTTTTTATAAATAAGGAAAAACTCACATGTATTCATGTACGTATATAAATGTACATGTGCATAAGCTAGAATGAATTCAGAGGAAAAAAAGAAATGATACATGAATTTTTTAACAGTTATTTTGGGAAGTTGTGTTAGAGGGGGAGGGAGGGTCATTGTCTTCTCACCCCTTTCAGCACCCTAAAAAGCAGTCCCACTTTAGAACACCATGCAGATAACCACCAATGGTGTGGGAGCGACAGGTAGGAAACCTGCCCATGGTGGTCCTTCCTAAACCCCCACCCCACTTCTCTCCCACTTCATGTCTCTTTACTGAGCAAACTGCATAACAAGTCATCTGACACTCACTGCCTCCTGGATTTCATTTTAACTTGGCCTCTTATCCTTAGAATCAAGAGACTAAAGCCCCCCACCTTTACCACATGGCTCCACAGCGCCACACTCTGGTATGTCTGAAGAAATACTTCTTCAAGTCAGGTCTCCCTAATCCTTTAAAGAAGGGCCTTATTTATTTTTTGGTGCTGAGGCTTGAACCCAGGGCCCTGCACATGCTAGGCTAATGCTCTTATCACTGAGATCATCCCCAGCCCTCAAGAAGAGATTTAAAAATATACATGCATACATTAATAATATGTATACATAACAACTTTTTACAAATGGAGGCATAATTTGCATACAGTAAAATTTATACTTTTTAGTGTACAATTCTATGAATTTTAACAACTACCAGTACAATCAAGACACAGAACACTTCAAAGCTGGGAGCGGCGGCACTTGTACCTGTAGTCCCAACTATTCCGGGGGTTACAGCAAAAGGACTGGAAGTTCAAGACCAGCCTGGGCAATTTACAGAGACCCTGACTCAAAATAAAATTTAAAAGGCTGGGGATGCAGCTCAGTGAGACAGTTGCTGGTCTACCACGTGTGAGGTCACAAAAATAAGTAAAAAAATAAATAAAAACATAGCTGGACATAGAGCACTTCTACTCCCCGCTGAGTGTCCTCAAGCTGCTCTGCTGTCAACCTCTTCCCCCGGCACGGATCTGTTTTTTGTTCCTGTAGCCTCCTTTTTCCAGAATGCCAGGGACCTGAACAGAGACGCCACCTCTGTGCACTAAGATCGTGACGACGTCGGAGCGGCAGAATGTGTGATTCCTCACTAACTGCTGCACCGCACTGCACCGCACGCACCCACGGGCTTCCCATCAACCTGTGGCAGGGCGCGGGCACAGGCGGCCACAGACTTCCCCGACACGTCCTCAAGGGCTACTTTTAGTCTCGCTAAGGCCTCCTCTGGGGGTGCCAGGGGTGCGGGGAGGAGGGCTGCTAAAAGTCGGGAAAGTCGTGAGTGGGGCTGGGTGCGGCTGGGGGCAGCGGCGGAGCCCTGGTGGAGAGCGGCCCGGGCCGCACCGGGAAGGGACGCGCGCCCGCCTCGGCCCCGGAAGCCGGCCCCCGCAGCCGCGCCGCACCCCGCGGACGGCTTACCTGCCAAGGATCCATGGCGCCCCTCGGGCATCGCCCCGCCGGCGCGCCCGCCCCCGAGGCCCCGGGATGCGAACCCCGCGCCAGTGCGCCGGGCGCAAAGATGGCTCCGGGTCAACTTCACTTTCGTTTCCTCGGAAGGACGGCCCCCTCCGAGGGCTGGGCGGGGTAGGGCTCGGGCAGCCTAGCGACCGCGCCGGGCTCCAGCGCCTTCCCGGCCTCGGAGCGGAGGTGGCCTTTCTTTAGGAATTTGGAGAACCCGCCGCGCCCCTGACCCTCCGGGGCCTCCGAGGAACGCCGCGAGGCTCCGGCGCGGAAACGCGGCGCTGGGGAAGCGGCCTGAACTGCACTCCGTGGGTCGCTGGGGAGGGGTCCCTCCAAGTCCCCACTGTGGGACGTCTGTCCATGTCCCCTCCGCATCGCGAGCTGCAATCAGCGGGCACCAGCCAGGCGACTTCGCAAGATAAATCAAGGTAACCGCAAAGGGACCATCTGGGACCCACGCCGGCGACCCGCCCCTTCGCAGGCCGGGTGAGCACCTGAGTCAGCTTGGGCGGACACTGGCCACGCGCAGGGGTTGAAGCCGGCTGACTGTGGCCACGGGTCAGCCGCTGGACGGGGTCCGGTTCTGAGAGCTCACACCACTACCTTGTTATCTAGAAGGAAAACACCTAGGATTCCACGGTCAGGCTTACCTACTGCTTGCCCTGGCATCTAACCCTAGGAGAAGACCACAGATCCGCGCCGGGGCTCAGCAGCTCCTTCCCCCCACTCCCACTCCGGGAGAAGTGCCTTTATCTTTTTTATTTTTTAATATTGTTTTGTTTGTTTATTTGTTTATTTATTTGTTTATTGGTACCAGGAATTGAACCCAGAGATGCTTAACTACTGAGATATATTCCCAGCCCCAGAAATTCCCTTTTCTGTGTTTGATTTTTTTCCCCACCGCTTGAGATTTATGTCCCTTCCAGCTGATGCCCTGTCGCCACTGTCCTCCCCTTCATCCGACCTGTCCCTAACACTAAATTTCATTCTCTTGTAGGCAGTGATCTTTCTTCCTTCTGTGTCTTTGCACATTCTGTTCCTTGACCTAGAATGCACTTCTTCTGTTGAAGTAGTTTTTCAAAATCAGCTTCAAATATTGCAGGAGAGAGCGGTCCCTCACTCCAGGAGGGGGATGGGTGAGGCAGCAGGTTCAATTCTTGGTTCCTGGTTCTGTGCTTGCCCCTTATTCAGCATTTACCCCTTACAGAGCACTTGTTCCTCTGAAAATCCTTCAGTCATTTAACATCACTTCACTAGGCACCTAATGTGTGCCAGTGTGTGAAGCACAAATAAGAGCCCCTTCCTGCAGCTGTCAGTCAGTGGCAGGGGTGGGTGGTGCCGGGAGGATGGATGCCACAACAGCCATCCCAATGTTAGGCATTACTTGTTAATATAGTCTTCTGGGGGCAGAGAACATGTCTATACACCCCTATATTGCTGGTTAGTTGAAATGAATGAGAGAGCACTCAGCAGGTAAAATAATGGGCAAGAACATTGGGTAACTTCACAGGATAAATTTAAAGTATCAATAACTATATGAAAAGATACTGAATCTCATTACATCAGGGAAATGCTGGGTAAAGCTGCAGTGATTACTTCCCATCCACTCAGTAGGCACCATTAACCACTGGATCAGACCAGGTAGGAGCAAGGACAAAGAGCAGCTTGTCAACTCAGGAAGCCAGTTTGCTTTCACCTAGGAAAGATGTGAACATACATACACGCTCCACAATTCAGCCATTCCACTCCTACAGGAGGACACACATACAAGAAGTCCATAGATGCATTATTTGTAATAGCCCCCAAACTTCTGGAAACAACTCAAATGTCCATCAAAGTAAAATGGATAAATAAATGGTGGTATATGCCTATGATGGAATATTGTATAGCAACACAAGAGAAATACTACAACTGCAAACAACAAGGTGGGTAATTATCTAAATGAAATTGAGAGGAGCCATATACACATTATATATGATTTCATTTATGTAAAATCCCCAATCAGGCAAAACTAAACTATGACACGCCCTGCGTAAAGACAGGATGGTTTACCTTTAAGGAGGAAACGGGGTTTTGACTGGGAAGGAATATTCTGGGTGCTGGGGATGTTCTAGTTCTTGAACGGGTGGTAGCTAGATAAGTTTGCTTTTCAATAATTCATTAAGTTAAACATTTATATTTTATTCACATTTGTGTGTGCACATGAGAGTATTTCACAATTTTAAAAGGTTAAAAAAGAACAAATCTTCCTGCAGCGACTCCAGCCCATTTCCCCGTGTTCTTTTCTCCACTGAAGCAACATGAGTCAGGTCTTACCTCGCTTCCTTGTCTTCTGGATAAATGATCTCAAAGTCTTTACCCTTCTTCAGGAATGATCCAAAGCGCTTCGGCTGCTTCCCATACCTTTAGTCTAACACAGTACAGAGCGCTGAAGCTGAAAGGAGAAATGTCTTTTCTAAAGATGGTCAGTTTGTGCCTGGAAAGAACTGCTGTTGTCATTTAATCTTAGCAGCTCAGGTGACTGCCAAGAGTCTTATTCATCTCCTCCTCCTCCTCAGTAATTGTTTTGATTCCCCCGGGGCTGGGAGGTGGTGACTGAAATCTTTGTGCTGTTCTAATGTAGAGAGATGGAGCTGGAGGAGTTGGGTGAGGCTCTTTTAAAAATTAACCAAAAGTGGGCTGGGGCTGGTGCTCAGAGCAGTAGAGAGCTCCCCTAGCAAGGGCGGGGCCCTGGGTTCCATCCTCAGCATCACATAGAAATAAGTAAATAAAATAAAGGTATTGTGTCCAACTACAACTAATATATATATATATTTAAAAAAACACCCAAGGGCTGGGGATGTGGCTCAAGCGGTAGCTCGCCTGGCATGCGTGTGGCCTGGGTTTGATCCTCAGCACTACATACAAACAAAGATGTTGTGTCCGCTGAAAACTAAAAAATAAATATAAAAAAAAAATTTGAAAAAATAAAATAAAAAATTTAAAAAAACCCAAAAGTAATATCTGATTATTACATAAGTTTTCAGAGAATATAGACAAGTAAACATAATGAAAATCATCTTTAATCTTCCATTTCTAACTCTTTGGTGTCCACCCTTCCAGGGTTTTCCCTGTGCATGAAGATACCAGGCACAACAGGTGATTAGTCCTCTCCCAAGGTGTCGAACCTCCCCCGGGGCTGTGAAGTGACCCCAAATGCAATGCCTCTAGTACCTACCACTTAGGACTACTTGTCAATGATTGCCTAAATGATTAAGATTTACATCTCTATAAACAACCTGTCTCCAGAGGCCCCTTACTCTGCAGCCCTGCAGGTGCAACTCCATGTGGGCCTCCAGGAGGCTGGACCCCCCCATCAGGAGGAGGGTACTTCATCCGTCGTCATTGCTTGCTGTTTCAATGATAGATAATGGTCTGGTTTTGTAATTATCAGTCTGGTTTGTTGTGGACTTTCCTGTTTAACCTCACTGCGTGCAGGGATGCATATTTGCAGGGACGCATATTTACAACAGCAGCTTTGAGTCTGTCATCTCCTATAACCAGGCTCTAGTACACACATGGCTACATCCAGCTGGATCATTCATCTCCAAAGAGTGAAAAGTCTGCAAATTCCCACAACAGGTACTTACAGTCTTGCTGGTTGTGCTCCCTAGACAACTTGTAACATATTATCAGAGGAAGTAATAAAGTGCTGAGTTATTTTTAAGTCCTAGGGCATTATTTTTAAAGAGGATATGTACATGAATAGTTTTCTAAGAGGTAGAACAAAAACAGAAGTCTAAGAGCAGTTTACAGAATTGGTTGGCACAAATTACTGGCTGCTGCTGCTGCTTTTTTTTTTTTTTTTGTACAGGGATTGGACCCAGGGACACACTACCACTGAGCTACACCCCATCCCCTTTTTATTTTTTATTCGAGACCAATTCTCTTGATAAATGTTCCAGGCTGGCCTTGAACTTGTGATCCTCCTGCCTCACTCAGCCTTCCTAAGGCAGGACTGGGATCCCAAGTGGGGGCCACCACACCAGCTGTTTCTCTTCACTGTTGACCACTCTACCCTGGCAACATCAATCTTCAGAATTCACGGGGTCTCCCATGTTATCCACTTGCTTTGATAACCTAAAGGGGTTTCAGGAGACAGAACAGTGAGCTGCCCAATGGCTAGAGGTGTTCCACAGCTATACTTATTTATATACTATTGATGTTGGTGACCAGAACTGGCTTTTGAAGCTCCAAGAAATTAAGAAAAAGTTAGCCCACAAAGAAACAGAGGTCTCCAAAAGCGGTTAAGTGCTCAGGCCCCAAGTTAACCAATAAATGAAAGAAAAGGAGTGGTATTTACCTAGTGTCTGTAAGGGCTGGGCATTGCGGTTAGTAGATGCTGTTATAAATAAAGCTACAGAATCAGTAATAATGTCAAAACAAGACTAAACCCCTGGCTACCAGGCCTCTGTAGAATGTTCTACATGTCTGTATAACCACTTAATGTACATTTAGACTCATAACCACCCACAAGGTGACCTCTAGGCAGCCTGTGATTTTATGCATTAAGTCCGGACACTTAAGCTGCCTGTCTTCTGCTAGCTCAGTCTTTGAGTGCAGCCTGCCTGAGACTGGCTTAGCTCCTGGCCTGCTCTGAGATCCCACCAGGTTGGGATCCAAAGAGTAGACTCTCACTCTTTCTTCCTCCTCTTCCCAGCCTATGAGTGGAGAGGCTTAGTCCCAGCTGCAAGGACAATGTCTCAACCACCACAGCTCATAGAAAGCACCTTATGCAGGCTTGAAGGCAGCCTGGGCTGGAGTGCTGCAGCTGTTTTCAGGAGAACCAGATCGAGGCTGATTTCCTAAGAGCCAATCTGCAGAAAGCCAGTCTGTCAAATGGCCAATTCATAGAATTGGTAGAGTTGTAAACTGAACCACCAATTTATAAAACAACCAATTACTTTTTTTCCTCCTTGGTCTTAACTGACCAATGTTTATCCTGTCTTTACAATAGAATTTGGAAGAAAGGTACCTTGCTTTCTGTCTTCTGCCCTGGAGCTACAACTGAGGAGAAACCGGAAGA